TTTAAATCATTAAAATATATAAAATATATAATCAAATCGTATAAGAATTATCAAAGTGTATTTATTTATATATTTCCTGTCCTGTCTGTAGAGGAAAGGGGAGATAAATCAACATAAGTTAGTAAATTTATAAGTGATTACTTCCCTTAGTCGTTTTAATAATTTATACATATAAACTATTTACCTGTATTTAGACAAAAATTAGTTCCCGAGCAAAATGAACCGTTTAATTAATCTGTTCCAACTTTTTTTACATTGCAGTCTTATTTGTTCAAGTCTTTCATGTGAGGCATTCAGATACCTTTGTCCCTAAAGTGATCACTGTCTTTGTCGTTCTGTCACTGATATTTTTTCTTGCGAGACATATTTCTATTTCACTGTTATAATGAATCATAGATACCACTGAACGCCTAAAATATATAAAGGCAACGGATTAATTAAATGGTTTGCACTAGGTGTCTTTGTGCGATGTAAAATACATACACCTGCATTTATGTATGTCTATGTGTGTGAGAGTGACATCTCAAGCAAGCACAGAAGATAATTCCCCCCTCTACCACACAAAAATAATCAAACACAAATAAGAATAAATAGATCCATTTAAAAAAATAAATAAACCAGTTTGTCTGATGATCGTAATGGCATGAGACCCAAGGTCACAAACTCATATGCATACAACTGAATATGCTAGCTCTATCACAGATTTTGAGCACTTTCCACTAAGTAAAGCGCATATATATATATATATATATATATATATATATATATATATATATATATATATATATATACAGTGTAACCCGGATATAAGAGATTTTCTCTGGTCCCAAATTAGAGCCTGTGTTAATGTATATAAATTAGACCGACCGGATATAAGAGAAACCCGGATATAAAAGAAAACCCGGATATAGAGAAACCCGGATATAGTCTTATCCGGTTTTGACAACTCTCTTATGGAAGGTTAATATATATATATATATATATGCATATACAGAGTGTCCATAAAGTTCGTGTGAACTTTAAAAAAATAATTTTATAACTTTGTATTTGCGATAGAAATAATTTGTAGAAAAGATTAGAAAGAAGTAAATCTATATTTTTAAGGTTTTATTGAAATTTTATTTAAGTTTCCACATGTCCTCCATCATTACCAATACAAAGGGTAATACGATTTTGCAGTTCGCGGAAAACATTTGCCAACTGATTTACAGTAATGCCTGAAATCACATTATTTATTTTAGCTATACTTAAAACTAGGTACATTAAACTTTATATATTTTTTACAGATTATTTCTATCGCAAATACAAATAAAGTTATAAATTTGTTAAAGTGCACACGAACTTTATGGACACCCTGTATATATATATATATATATATATATATATATATATATATATATATATATATATATATGTGTGTGTGTGTATGTGTGTAATACATATGAAATAAATTTTATCAATTGTATATTTTTCATTTTAAGCCGGATGCTGTTTATGACTTTTTTTTAAATTATTATAGAATATAAAATATGTGGATAACGACCAAATTTGAATTTTCTATTTAATAAAAGGAATGGTTCGGAGGAGGAGGTGAATGGAATAAATGCATTATTTTTCGATTAATCACCGTTGTTCAAAAGTTTGATTAATTTTGATTTCAAAAGTCACCCTCGATGCAGTGACCAATAAAAACGCTTGGCTGTTGGCCAATGTCAAGGAAGACATAAAAAATAAGGTTAAAATGTTGAAATGCCATCATTATCACTACCACAACTAAATCAGATGCTGTTAGTGTTGCTGTCGTCACTCATTAAATACAATTAGTACTACAACTACTAATATTAATACTCATACGACGACTAATAACAGTGATATAACCTATATTAGTATGTAACCGGGCCCTAGTGTTTATACCGTTAATATGACTGAATATGTACTTCCGATAATCACCAAAAGGGAGATAACTCAGTTTCAAAAGCCGCTTCATAAATTATGCTGCTTCAAAAGGAAGTAGATGTATAATGATATATTTTAGTATTTCAATTTATTTTCTGTATATACAGGATGACTGAAAAGTAACTCCTTATTTTAAAATACTTATAATTTATGTACTAAATGTAATTTTACAAGAAATGGATATGAGAGGAAAGCGTTTAGCAGGAGATTTTATTTAAAATTTGATATTGGCACTAGATTTCGCTAAAATTTCTCGAGTCGCCCAGGAATCGCGTCAACTGATTTCACCAGGAACTCTTGTGGTATGGAAGACATAACTTCTTGTATTCGCTCTTCAAGTTATTCCAAATTCTTGGTTTGGTATTTTGAATTGAAAATTTTAACTTTTCTAAATTTATAAAATTATAAAGCGTGTTAAATCACGACCCCTTGAACATCAAATTAGGGACTTAATTTCTTACATTAAAATAGCGTTAAGTTAACAATTTCAATTGGATACATATTAATATATATATATATATAATTTTTTTAATGTGTGTGTGTGTGTGTGTGTGTGTGATTGTGTGTGTGTGAAATAATTTGTACTAAAAAAAGAAAGTGAAAATATTTTTACACTTCACAGATCAAATTAACATTTAATTTAAAAAAAAGATTTCAATACATAAACAACAATATTATTTATTTTAGGATATTCAATAATAACATGTAAAATTCCTTTCAATTGCATTAAATTTTCAAATATATCGACATGTTCATCAGGTTGATTGCAAATTATATATCTGAACAATTAATTTGGTTTCAAAATAAAATACATCCTCATTTTTAAAAAATAAAATAAAATATTAAACTAAATATCTTGTTTACCTAAATACTATCTCTACAATAGAAAATCCGACGGTTGAAAAATTCTATATTGGTAGTACTAAGAATTTTTGTCCTTCACTAATAATACTTATAGAAATAATACAGCACCTTTCTAAGTATTTTTTAGTTTAAAGATAATAATAAAATTCCTAAGGTGAAATGGAAAATTTAAAAAATGGCAAGGCCATGTAGATCCTTATATGAGCCGTGTTTTATGTGTTTACATGAAAAATTTGAAATTATCAGGTTCTTTGATAAGAATGCTTTATTAAATCAAAAATCTGAGTTAACTGCAAATTGTAAACACAGTCTACCTATTACTTTACAATTCAGTTAAACTTTAGAATTTGACAATGTTTTTTCTTAGATTTATTTGAACTGTGTTGTACCATATATGGCTTACCTTTCTATTTGTATAATTAATTTTGAGTTTAAATTAGTTCTGTATTGATCTCCTGGTAGTATTAGTAACATCTTATACGTATGTTTTGGTATTTAGTTAGTATTTTTGACATTTTACATTGATTGGTTGATATTATCTCATATGGATGATATTTATTTAACGGTTTGCGTATTTATTTGCCAAATAATTTATATGTTAAAATTTTTACTAGTTTTAAAAAGAAGAAACTTATTTATCAACTATAAATCCTTTTTAAAAAAAAATCTTTACAAAACTTATAACAAGTAGGACATTCGGTTAAATTAAAAATAAATTAATAAAATTTTTTTTCTTAAGAAAGTTAACTGTATATATGTATAATGTATCATTTATTTATTTTTTGTATCAAGTCTTTAAGTTAATGTCAAATTTTGCCTTGAGATATTTAAAGAAATAAGTAAATTCAAAAGAATTAAATTAAAAAACAAAAAAAATTAAATTAAAGGTTTTAACATAAATGAAACACTTTTATATAGACTTAATTCAATTTAATTTTATTTATAAATTGATGGTTTTGTTAAAGACAGAAAATTTTAAAAAATTAGAACTCTTATTCGAAGGAAAATATTTTTTAAAAAAAAATATTATATATATATATATATATATATATATATATAAATAAAATATATTTTGAATTATTAACATCAATAAATTTAATAAACGATGAGGAAGATGAGTGTCCGAATATATATATATATGAATGATTTGGAAAAATTTATTTTCAACATATTTCATTAATGAACCATAAAAATAATTTTATTTAAACGAAAAACACACTCTTACTTTTAACAATAAAATGTTAAAGATAGAAAGAAAAATAAAAAAGAAAAAAAGTTTAAAACGAGATTTAGGAAAAGAAACAGAGAATGAGGTCATTGTCTTTAAAAAAAAAAAAAATGAAAAAAAAAATAGGAAAATAAAAAAAGAAAGAAAGATCAAAATAAAGAAAGAAAATATTGTTTTTTTTTTTTGAGTTCAAAATATCTGAAAGAAAGAAAAAAAACAAAGAGATGTTTAAAAAAAGAATAAATCTATTATGATGGAAAAGATTTAAAAAGTTTTAACAAAAAAGAAATAAATAAATGACGAGTGAAAAGGAAGAAAGAAAGAAAGTAAGAAAGAAAGAGTGAGGGAATGTAAGAAAAATTGCAAATGGAAGTGTATAAAAATAAAAATGTAAGAAAGGGAATTAGACAAAAATAGAAAAAAGGAAATAAAGAAAATTAAATAAAAGTAAGCAAGGAAAACATTGCAAAACAGAACTAGTGAAATGAATATTTGAAAAAGAATTGTCTTTGGCTAAAGCAGACGAACCGCAAAATTCAGATGAGAGAGATGTAAATGTAAAAACAAAATGGCGTTTAAGAATGAAACCATGGAAAATCAAAAATGGAGCACAAATCCTGAATAGAAAAAAGCGTACATCAATAGAACAAATGAAAAAAAAATGCCAACAGATTATTTTATAGACAGTTTTTAATTGTGTGAAATATTTAACGAGAATTGATTTAAAATGGGAAAAATGATGAGGGATATCGGACGAAGAAAAAAGAGACGGAAGTCAAAAATATGAAAGAAAAGAAAAGATTAAAAAAAAAAAAAAAAGAAAAGAAAAGATTCAGAGAAAATTTTAAACGAAAGAAAGATAATCAACAAGAAAAGATTAAAAGAAAAAATACGTTAGATTTTATTTGAACTTATAATAAAGAGAAAATGGAAAATATTGATGAAAACAAACGCCATAAAAGATGAAAAAAAAAAAGAAAGAAAGAAAAAGAAAAAAAAAAGAAATGCAGATGAAGAAAGAGAGATAACAAAAGAAAAAAAATAAAGAAAAAGAAAGATTAAAAAAAAAAAAAAGAGAAAAAAAACGATAAGATGAGACTTGAAAAAAAGAAGAAAAAAAAAAAACCTGGAAGACTTTTTTTCCTTAAAGAAGAAAAAAGAAAGACAAAAGTTAGACGAAAGAAAGGACGAAAGAAAGGACGAAAGAAAGAAAGAAAGAAAGAAAGAAAGAAAGAAAGAAAGAAAGAAAGAATAATTGGAAGAAAAAATATAATTAATCAAATTGGAAAGAATGAAAAAAAGGCATGAGAAATTTGAAGAATAGGTAACAAAAAAAAAGAAATTGAAGGGATATAAATCTGATGAGAAAATGGGGATGAACAAGAAAATTGAACTGTGAAGAGTAGAAAGAGGGAAAAAAAAGTTAAAAGAAAAAAAAGGAGGAAAATGTCAAAATTTGAGCGACATGAGAGAGAGAGAGAATATGAATCAGAAGAGAGGGGGATAAAAATGACAAATTTGGACCGCTAAACGAGGGAAAGAAAGAAATAAAGCGATCAAGGAAAAGAAAAAGGATGAGACAGAAGAAACGAAAAAGAAAAAAGAAAAAAAAAGAAAGAAAAGAAAAGAAAGAATTAAAGAAAAGAAAAAAATGACACTAAAAGGAAAAAAAAGAAAAAAAAAATTGAATGAAAAAAAGAAAAAAAAGAAAAGAAAAAAAAAAAAGAAAAAAAAAAAAAAAAAAAAAAAAAAAGAAAAAGAAAGAAAAAAAAAAAAGAAAGAAAAAAAAAAAAAAAAAAAAAAAAGGAAAAAAAGAATTTTAAAAAAAAGAAAAAGAAAAGAAAGAAAGAAAAAAAAGAAAAAAAAAAAAAGAAAGAATGAAAGAAAGAAAGAAAGAAAGAAAAAAGAAAGAATAAAAGAATTAAAAAAAATGAAAGAAAAGAAAAAATGAAGAAAAAGAAAGAAAGAAAAAAGAAAAAGAAAAAAAAAAAGAAAGAAAGAAAGAAAAAAAGAAAAAAGAAAGGAAAAAAAGAAAAAGAAAAAAAAAAAGAAAAAAAAGAAAGAAAAAAAAAAAAAAGAAAGAAAGAAGGAAAGAAAGAAAGAAAAAGAAAAAAAGAAAGAACGAATCGTTAAACAAACTAAGAGAATGGAAAAAAAGAAGAATGAAATGGATTAAAGTAGACGTAAGAAAGAAAAAAAAAGAAAGAAAAAAGAAAGAAAAGAAAAAAAAAGACTTTAGAGAAAAGAAAGAAAGAAGAGACGAAAAAAGAAAGAAAGAAGAGACGAAAAAAGAAAGAAAGAAAGAATCGTAAACAAACTAAGAGAATGGAAAAAAAGAAAGATATGAAATGGAGTAAAGTAGACGTAAGAAAGAAAGAAAGAAAGAAAGAAAGAAAGAAAGAAAGAAAAGACAAAAAAAGAAAGAAAGAATCGTAAACAAACTAAGAGAATGGAAAAAAAGAAAGATATGAAATGGAGTAAAGTAGACGTAAGAAAGAAAGAAAAAAAAGAAAGAAAGAAAACACATTAGAACGGAGAAAGAAAGAAAGAAAGAAAAGACGAAAAAAGAAAGAAAGAAAAGACGAAAAAAGAAAGAAGGGACACATTATTAGAAACAAAATATTGAAGAGAAAGCCGAAACTTATTGAAAACAAAGAAAGAAAGAATTTATCAGCAAAAGGATCGTTAGCACAACTCGCAGCCAATCCTTCTTTAAGCCAAGATCAAGCGTAAATGTGACAATTCTCTCTTTAATAATAAAACTGTTCTTGTTAGTACCACCACCAACCGCACCCTTAACCTCCGCCACCCCTGTACCGTGCCCACCGCCCCCATTAATATTTAATTCATCTATCTCCCGTGACTAGGGACACAACGGCTCGCCCGTTTAAACCCTGACATTTTGAGGCCGGTCCGTTTGTGGCACGCATTAGGCCCGTTTCCTCCCAGGCCGGTGCGTCGGTTTAAATGTCACCGGTGTAGTACGAGTCCTGCCTACCGCCACGGAGGCCCCGATGAGGTGATGACAGCAATGTTTTTTTTTCTTCTTCTTCTTTTTTTATTATTTATGTCGGACCGTTTCAAGGTCTTTTTCTTTCTATTAGCGTCTGCCCCACACCGACCGCTTTTTTCGACTGAGTCCCCTCGTCTGAGCATTATTATTTCATTATCTTAATGACTTGGGTTTAGTCGAGTCAAATTGTTTCATGTGGGGCAGGAGGTGTTCTCTTTTTTTTCTTTTCTTTTTTTTCGGTGGATGGAAGAGAAGGTTTAATTTCGTTTTCTTTTTATTTGATGTCGTTTTTATTTATAGCATTCTTACTTGCTTCAAATCGTTTTTATTTTATTTTATTTTGAGGCTTTTATTTATTTTGTTTTGTTTTTTGTTTTTACGGAGAACTTGTTATTGTATCGACGCATGTCCTCTGTTGGCAGAAGAATTGCTCAACATAGCTGGGGTGGGGGTGAACAGAGTCAAGGATGATGAAGTGTAAGATACGAAATAATGATTTAGTGAGAATGAAGAAGAAAGAGGAGGGCAAAAAAGATAAGATAAGAAAATAAAGAAAGAAAGAAAAAAAAAAAAAAAGAAGGTAAGGTTTAAAAGAAAAGAAAAAAGAAAAAAAGAAAGAAAGAAAAATAAAAGAAAGAAAGAAAAAAAGAAAGAAAAATAAAATAAAAGTTAAAAGAAATCAAAAAGGAAATGAATTCTGGAGAAAAAAGAAAAAGATACTAATAAATTTGAAAAAAAAATAATCAAAGGAAGAAAAAAAAAAATGACTTATACAAGTAAGGAAAGATAATAAGAAAAAAAAGTTAAAACAAATATTTTATTAATACGGAAAAAAAAATTTTAAAAATAAAAGGAAGAAAGAACCTAAAAGAATATAAAGAAAAAGAAAGTCGCTGAATGAAATGGTAATAGAAACGAAAAAAAAAGCTTTAGAAATAAAAAAAATTCTTTTAATCTTTATATTAAAAAAGAAATAATGATTTAAAAGAAAAATAAAAAAACAAAGAGGAAAGAAAGAGTGAAAAAAGAAAGAAAGAAAAGAAAGAAAAAAAAAAAAAAAAGAAAGAAAGAAAGAAAGAAAGAACAAAGAAACAAAAGAAAAGAAAGAAATAAAAAAGAAATAAAGAAAGAAAGAAAGAAAGAAAAGAAAAAAAAATCAATAAAATAAAGAAAGTAAAAAGAAAGAAAGAAAAAAAATAAAAGAAAGAAAAAAAGAAAAGAAACAAAAGAAAAGAAATTAAAATAAAAAAAAAAAAAAAAAGGAAAAAATTGTAACATAAAAAAAAAACAGACAAACGAAAATAAAGAAAGAAAGAAAAAGAAAAGAAAAAAAGAAAGAAAGAAAGTAAAGTAAAGAAAGAACGAAAATAAGAAAATCAAAAAAAAAAAGAAAATTTTTGAAAAGAAAGAAAGAAAGAAATGGGAAATAGAAAGAAAGAAACAATTATTTGAAAAAAGAAAGAAAAGAAATGGGGAATAAAAAGAAACAGAAACAAATAAAAAAGAATCAAAAGGAGATGTGAAAAAACAGGCAACAAAAGAAAATAAAGAACGCAAGAAATAGAAAAAAAAAAACAGGCAAAAAAGAAAAATAAAGAAAGAAAGAAAGAAAGAAAGATCGAAAGAAAAAAAGAAAGAACGAAAGAAAGAAAGAATAAAAGAAAGAAAAGAAAGAAAAGAAAGAAAGAAAGAAAAGAAACAAAAAGAAGTAAGGAAGGAACGAAGGAAGGAAAGAAGGAAATAAAGGTGTGAACAATAAGTACAAGACACAATTCATATTCTTCTTCGAAATATTCTTCTTCTATGTGCCGTGTTCCTTCAAGACGTTGGCGATCATGGCTCTTCACAATTTCCTGTCCTTTGTTGCTCATAATAACTTTTGTCTTTTTGCCATGTCTCCCAAATTCTGTTCCGATGAGATCGTCCAACATTCACTGTCATATGAGTGGACAGATATTACGTAATAGTTCAGTTAGGGCACTTCGAGGCGGCGTAAGCAAGCTTGTCTCGCTAAAACAATTACGACTGAGTAGTGAGTTTGATCCCCACTGGGTGCCCCATACTTTCGGCCTTGCGCCACATCTAAGCTACGCTTGGAAAATCACTACGTAATAGTTCAGTATTTGTTTCTTTGTTTCTAACGACATTTCCATGTTTCTAAATACTGTGTTTAACTTTTGGGAGGCATCTTTTCTGTGACTGCTATCAAACATTGTGTCATTTTATATTTTATATTGTTAATGACAGCAAGCCTCCTGAAAACTTCTCCACTTTTATGGACGTTGTGTTTTGAACGGTTTCAATTCTTCAACCAAATTTTTTTAATTTTCGATTTAACTATTAGGGGCACACGAGAGAAGAAAATATTAGCGTAGAACTTACGGTTACAACTGGCAATTCCAAAAGTAAAATAATAAAACCTAACTTCCAATCTAGTATTGCAATTAAATTCCAGAAGTCAAGGTACTAAAGAGAAAATTTCATTAGTACAATTGCCATAAAATATTTATAGAAAAGGCACAAGGAAGACTGTTACGACAGCAAGAAAATCATTAAAGCCGAGATGCCAGTTTAGGACCGATAACATTGCAAATTCTTTAGATTTTCTCAAAAATCTCTAGAAGCACCAGAACATATGTGGCAGCAATATCCAAAGATCGGACAAATGGTCGTCTTACAAAAATGTCTAAGATAGATTCTGATGAGGAAGATTGTCTTGCACCATACAATGAACCAACCTTCCTAGCAGTAAACGTAGCAATTGATTCGATAGAATCGGTCCATTTAATGTCAGTGGATAATGTTAGTCAATTCCTGTACCATTTTGATTTTGACAATAGTCCTACTAGTAATCGTAATATGGTAGTAGTAGTCGCAATACTAACTGTCGAAGTATTTGTACAAATAGTAACCATCGCTGTATTAGTAATCGTACTAGTGTACCAATCTGTATAGTGGGGATTACTAAAAACATCTCCACCATCACCAAATCTATAGACAAATCATACAAATGCATGCTGGGAATTCTTCCTAACTGATTATTTGTGAGGAAGAAATCCCAGCATCCATTTGTACAATTCTCGGTCTCATCCGCCATATTGTTTGTTTTTTCTTGTTTTGAAGTCTGAACGCTACAGACTGTATCCCTTTTGAGTGTGAACACTATTCTTACTTTGTGAAATTTTTGCCACATTACTCTTGCCTTGCCTAATTTTGATTTGCATATATATTGTTTGCTTCTTATGATTTAACTTCGATCAGAGGAGAGATCAGCAAATCTTTACCTTATTGAGCTGTTCGACTGAGATCAGAGGAGAGATCAGCTGATAGGCACACGCCCTCTCGATATATGGAGGTGAACGCAGACGGCGCAATCTGCATATTTATTTAGTAAAATATTAATAAATAATATTATAAAATCTAATACATTTTTTTTTATAAAAATCAATATTACACAAAAAAAAATTTGACATTTATTCTCTCTTCTTTTCTTTCGTTGGAACAACTATAACCTCTTATATATATATATATATATATATATATATATATATATATATATATTCAGACCGGGAAGTTTTTTTAGAAAACTTCCATTTAGCACTTTTGGATTAATGTTCTCCTTGTAATTATCCCAACCAACTAATTGCATATATATATATATATATATATATATATATATATATATATATATATATATATATTTACCTAAATAGCCAGAACCTATCGATAAGTTATGGGTCTTTAGATATTCTAATTTTGTTCTAGTTCATGTATTGAGCACTTTTACGTGGCAGCGTATGTAACTGTCGGTGTTTTTTTTTTCTTTTCGCCAGACATTGCAGTGATGATTGATTATTTTCAAGCACTACGGATGTTTTTAGGTTTTTCTTTTGTTATTGCGTTTTTTCCATGAATTTTTTATTTACAACTTGTATCATCGGTTTTATACACCGCCAGATACCTAATAGGTTTAATATCTACCCATATCTATAAAATATAAAATATTTCTATATAAAAAAAAAATATATATATATATATATATATATATATATAATATCATTTATACTGTATTCGAGGATAAAATATACTAGGGCGGCTAGAAAAGTTTATTGCAGACGATCGCTCAGGCATATTTGTATTTATTCAACACCCACAGAATCCGCCTGTGGTTTATACTGCAACTATGCTGAGCAGATCTTAATTACAGTTTCAGGGAGAGAACGTGTTATAAAGTGTCATCAACAAGTTCAACAAGGCCAACACGCCCAAACCTTCGGCCACGATGACTTCTGGCGTCGTGCTAGCACAGCTATCGACGGTCCTCTAGAGTTCCGACTACCTAATTTCACTCACAAGGCTTGGGTCAACTCGTGGTATGGTTTTCAGGTACTTTCCAAAGGTGCCACACGCTGGGATCGACCACGATACAGTCCGATAACATCATATATATATATATATATATATATATATATATATATATATATATATGTATGTATCTTCAGTCAAACATGTTTTCTTGAATAATACAGTTATATTAGGTCTATTTATTTTCACATCGATACTTTTCAGTTGTCTAATCAGTTTCGTGAAGGT